GCACACCGCAGGTCCTGCACGCTCATCTCCTGCAGTTCATACGGCCAAGTGAAGGCAGACGGGCACTCCGGCTCGTCCTCCTCATCATGCAGCGGCGCCATAAATGGATGTCGCAGCAACTCCGCTGCCGATGGCCGCTTGCATGGATCCAATTCCCACATCTTTGTAAGAAAATCCACGCCGTCCGGGTTGGTGAGTCCCGGCACGAGTTTGCGCATATCCAACGTGCCATCCGGCAGGTCCTGCAGCTTCTCTAGCGCCTCCGCGTTGTCTACCATCTCAGGCGGCGGCTTTCCAATGTGTGTGCAGATGAGCCGCAGTTGGTCCATTGTGTTCCGCCCGGGCAGCACCGGCTTGCGGTTGTACATCTCCGCCATGATGCAGCCGACCGACCAGATGTCCACCGCGGTGTTGTAGTAACTGTTCTCCAGCAGCAACTCCGGTGGACGGTACCAGCGGGTGATAACGTAATCCGTTAACTCGTGATGGGGCACCGTTACACTGCGGGATAGACCAAAGTCAATGATTTTTAATTCACAGGAGATATCCGTTACGAGATTGGCCGGCTTTAAATCACGATGGGCCACACCAGCACTATGTAAATACTTCAATCCACGCAGGATTTGATACACAAAGTATCGCACATGCGTCTCCTCCAACACCTGACGTGAGCGAAGCACCACATTCATATCCACATCCATTAAAGGCGTTACAATATAAACATCACGAAACTCATTGAAATCTTTTATTGGTGGTAAAATATCTATTATATGCAGAAGATTCTCATGATGAAAAAAACGCATCATGGCTACCTCTCGTAGCACACGTTTTCCATCTTCCAAGTCTCGAAAGACATCACGGCATTTTTTAATGGACACTTTATCTTGTGTTTCCTCATTTAGACAACTGCAGGCAATACCATAGGCTCCCATACCAAGTATCTTAAGAAGTGTATACTTCTTCGGTACCTCAAATTGTGATCCACCCACATTATACACCTTGAAGTCACCCACAATAGTAGGTTTACTTAACTCTTGATTGCTCTTATGCATTTCCTTTTTCTTTTTTTTTTTTGTTCTACTCACCCCTCTTTCTTCGTTTGGTTAAAGGTTTTAAAGTCCGACCTTTTTCTTTTTTTTGGGGGGGTCTTTTTTTTTTTTCTTTTTTTCTTTTTTTTCGTCCTTCTCTACGTCTTGTTATATTTTTGTTTTATTAATTTGCTCGCTCTTTTTTTTTTTTTTTCGTTCCTTCTTCGATTTCTGATAGATTTTTATAAAGTTTAAATATATATATTTTTTGTTTCTCTATCCCTTCGTTTCTTTTTTCTTTTTCTTCTCTTTTTTTTATTTTTATTCTTTTCGTATTTCCCGTTTGAAATCGATGCGTGCAGTGGTTTTGTTCGTCCCTTCGTGCAAGTAAGTGTTTTTTTTTTTCTTGTTTTTATTTATTATTTTATTTTTATTTTTCTTTCTTTCTTTGTTTGTTTGTGTGTATTCCAGAGAGTTAAGGTTGCGGCGGTGGCGAAGATAACGCGGAAAAGGAATAACCGGCGAAGCCGAACAAAAATAATAATAATAATAATAAAAACAAAAGGGATGAAATCTCACTCCACTCTACTCTACTCTCTCACTTACAGAGACTTTAAACAGGAGCCCAACGGCAAAAAAGAAAAAAAAAAAGCAAAGGAGATACACGAAAAAAAACAAACAAACAAAGAGAGATACCGAGATCGAGGAGGATAGATAGATAGATAGATAGAGAAGGAAAGAAATAATAAAGGATAAATAAGAACAAGGAGAAAAAAAAAAGTAAGAAAGAAAAAGAAATAAAGTGTTCTTTTTTTTATTTGTTTCTACTGAACACTTTCTTTTTCTTCTTTTCTTACCTTTTTTTTTGTCCTTTGCGCTAGTTTTTCCCCCTTCTCTCTAATTCTAACGGTCTTTAAATCTCCTTGTATCTACTGCACAGTACTGTAAGTACACCGTATATATATATATATATATATATATATATATAT